TACCCCGTTATCAGTCCCATGTCATCTGCTGCCTGTCACGGTGTCGGTTCGGCCCCGGCCTTGGACTGTGGATTGTGATTTCCATCTCTAGGGCAAGGTGCAGGGTCTGATGCCCGTGAGCTTGGCTGATGTGCTGATGGGTAGGCTGTCTGTCTGTCTGTCTGTGAGTCCATCTGAATGCACTGTGAAGGGGCAGGATGGCTGCTTGGGACTCCAGTGCACTCCTTGTGGACTTGCTGGCCGTGGGGCAAATCTGCAAGCAGGTGTAGCTTATCCCAAAGGGCATTAAGCCCCCTCTAAATATACCTGTGTTTTAGGACAAGATGGTCAGGGAAATAGCAAATTTCTTTAAGGTGTTTTTGAAGGAAACTGTGTCTTCATTGACAGGCTGCTCAGAGGATCTAGTTTTTAAAATCTACAGATGATTAACTAATGCAAGACACAGTGTATGATTTTTGTTGTTATAATGAAGTCAGAGGGCTGCCAGTCAAAGTATTTAATACAAAATCAGTTTTTCAGCTGAGGAGGTGTTTTACAGCCCACTGTATATCTCAATATGCCACTGGGGTTTTTAAGATGTCAAACCAAGGCTTCCTTAGGGGGAGGAGAAGGGAAATAATCCATTAACACTTAAAATGTGTAAATTATGTCACCACTAAGGTATGTATGTGAGGATCACACCCCAAGATGTTACCTTAAAGGAAACCTTAGACAAGGGGTAGACATTTGTCTGTCAGTCAGAAACCCTGGGTACCACATCTGCCATGCAGTGGGGATCCCTGGCCAGAGGGAGCTGGAGGAGAAGGCTGTGTGCTTGGCCTATCAATGGGATGCTGCTGGCTGCCCTAAAATATTTGTAATTTTCCAGCATCCACTTGCAGAAGGTGCAATTTCCTCCAACTGCCTTTGGGTCATGCTCTGCTGGTTTTTGACCTGAAGGGAGGGGGTGATGGGGTAGAAGCTAGAAAAGCCTGAGCCAAAGCACTCGGTTAGAGAGAAGGTGGCAGCCTGGACTAAAGCTCAGGGTAGGCAGGGGGAAAGTAGATGTAAGAATGTACCAAGGAGTGATGTTAATTCAACTTTGGGTATGTGATTATTACATGGGGTCTTAACCATGTAATAGGTCTTTAATGCCCTGAGCCTCAAACATGAGTGTAATGGTAGCCAAATGTCCTGGCATTGGAGCATTTCTCTAATACAGAAGCTGCAGCCCTGAACTGAGCAACCAAATTGCTCCTATGGTGATATGGAAACCTCAGGGAACTGCTTCTGGTGAATCTTGAAGATCTGTGCCTGAGAAAAGCTCTACCTTTCCTTGTGTGAGCAGCTGTCTGGTGCTATGTGGATGTTTAACCAGTGAACTGCTTGGCAATAAAGGTAACTGTTGTCACTGCGTTCGTTGTCATAAAAAACTTATGGTTCTCATTATATCACAGCCATAAATTACATCATGCACTATTTTATTGACATAAATAACAGATTAGCCAGGGAGTCCGTCACGAACATGAAAGTGGTGGTACTGCAGGTAAGAGAGATTTGGAAACCAAAACCTGTGTAACTTTATGTGCTTTGTCTTATGGTCTCAGACAGATCACGTTTCAGGAAAAAAGATTTCCTTATATCCTGTTTAGCAGTGGAGAAACAAAGATTTGTTAAGGTCACCACGGTGTTTTTTTCAAAGAGTAATCAAAGAAAATGGGGATCACATTCTGGATTTTAATTGCAGTTTCTCTTTTATGATACTTGTTTACTATTATTAAAGGAAAAAGTGTAACAGCTAGTTTTGATATTAAGCAAGAATAGTTCTGAGAATTTGTTTTAGTTTCCTTTCACGGAAGGCTTTGGATCCTGTTTTAATTTGTGCCTGACTGGTGAATTACTTGGCAATAAAGATCATTTTTTGTCATAAAAGACCAATTGTAATCATAAGCAGTTATAGTTATAATGTTTATCTTTCAGCCATAAATTACTTCGTGGTCTATTTTCTTGGTGTACCAGATTAGCAGGGGAATACCTCACAAATGTGAAAACAGAGGTGTTGTAGATAAGTGAGGCTTTGAAGCCAAAACCAGTGAGAAAACATACTGAGACCAAAGGTATAATGGGACATCGACTGTTAATTCTGAGACTTGGGATAGATCCCTGGGCTACCCTATTGCTTTCAATTTCCTGGAACATGAAATAAGTCATATATATAAAAAAAGGTAACAGTTGCTTGAAGCAGAAAGGAATAGAAGCCCAAACCACTTCTTGTAGTCATGCATATAGCTAAGAAAAACTCTAGGTTCTTCTGTGATCACAGCGTTTGATTTTCATCTCATGTCTTCTGGTTCATTTCTCACGTTGAGTTTCTGGTTAAAGTTAATGTTATTATTCTGGGTATTTCTGTATTCAATTAAAGGGGTTTTGTGCTGTCAGGGTGGATCAAAGTATAAGATTCCTTGGCTGTAGGAGAAAGTCCATGTTGGAGGTTTTCACTTTTGAAAGTCAAAATGAAGCCTCATTCAGGAGTAGAGTTTCTAGGACTATTGCAATATAAACACAATTTAGTTGATGAATAAGTAAATTCCTCAAGCATATTTTTGGGTAAGTAGGAGAAGGGGAAAATCCTTGCTGAAGGCATAAATAGCTCATATTTTTTTCTATTTAACACATACTTAATTTACCATCAAAGGATGTGGTGCATGCTCTAATTGTAGAAAGTAAAATGAACTTCTCAAAGGAGTTTTTAAGTACTGAAGTTCTTCGCCTGTTCCTAGAAATTCTAGATTAGGCAGCAGATGTTTCCCCTGGACTTCTGCTCTATGCTTGCAGAAAGCAGGCATTTGAGGAGTTGGGTACCACTCACAGGGAACAGTGAAAATGGAAAAATCACATGAATACAGTGTCTGGGGAACTCAATGCTGGGGTGCTGAGGAAGAGGCTAATCTGAAACAGCTCATGTGGTTGGGTATTACCAAATTCTGTGCTTGGAAACTAACTCTTCCTGTAAAAAATGATTAAGACGAAAGAAAAATCAAAGTTTTGGGTCAGATTCTCAGAATATTGATATCTTTTGTGCTGACAGCTTGCCCTAGGCCTGGAATACAGCTGCTGTTTAGCTGGGCTGAATTTGAGTGAGGGGTTTAGTCCTGTTAGCAATTCCTCAAACCAAGCAATCCTCTGGAGATCCAAAAAAACCCCAAGGTACATTTTTGCTGCTACACTCCTCAGCTACAGCTTCTTTTCTTGTGATAATTTCATCGGATATTAAAATATGTTAAGCCAGTCCTGGCTGAGCAACTCAGCCCAGCCAGCAGCAGCCAGTGAGACCTTTGCTGCCAGGGGTCACTTTGTGAATTAGCATTCAGGACCATTTGTGACGGGCACATAGTTGGGTTTTTTTGATCATAAGTTCGCTGTGAAGTCACTGTTAAAGACTCTGCCCAAGAGCCAGGGGGGAAGAATGTAAAGAAAAAAATTGCAGACCTGGGACCTACTGTGAGAGTGGCTGCATTTACCTCGTGCTTTATCCCTGGAACTGATGTCAATCTTTAACTTCTCCCCCAGAGATGTGGAAGCCTTGTTTGCATGCTGGAGGTGACCCTTCCAGGCCAGGGCAGGAAGGGCACAAGCTAAGGCAAACAAGGGGTTTTGCTGTGGGTTTTTTTTGATGGCTTGTTTGGGTTTAGTAGTGGTGGTGGTGGTGTGGTTTGGGTTTCTTTTTAAGGAAATGTCTCAAGTTTAATGTCCTGGGCCTGGAACAGGAAAGTGTAATGGCAGAGAAATGTCCCTGCATTGGAGCATTTTTCTAACACAGAAGCTGCTGCCTTGAACTGGGACTGTAAGAGCAAACCAAACCACCCAAATTCACTGGAGGGGCACTGTGGTTTTGCAGCACTGTGATTAAATTGAAACTGAGCACTTCTGTGTGATATCTGCTAAATAAACCCCTGAAATTGTGTCTGCCCAGGCTCAGCCTCCATCTCTTCCACGACAAGGGACCAGGTGCTGCAGCGTTTAGGATAGACCAAGCACTTTAATCCTTCCAGGAGCACTGGTTTCTTCTTGGAGCACAGTTTGCAAAGCTTTGGACCTTTTGGTCTGTGAGTCACACGATAAAAATAGGGACAAAGTGTAATGAAGAAGTGTTTTGGTGAAAGGGTGGACTGTGTACTCGGAGAAAACATTGCTATTTTTAGATCCAGATAAAGTTTATGGCAGCCTGGGAGTGCTGCTTGTGACTGGCTGTGGGACACCTTGCACAGGGCGACTGTGAACTGCAGGGCAATGCTGAGGGAAGAGAAAAGCTTGTTATGGGTGCTGAGGACAACAGTCAAGTCAAGGAAAAGAACTTATGGCTCTGTGGATCTACCTGGGCTTATAGGGAAGAGGGGAAAGGAGAGGGTCAGCCACTCTCCAGGTCACTTTCTTGGCTGTAACCTTGTACTGCTTTGCTGATGGTTAAAATCAACTTGGATAGCTTGACTTGCCTCCTTGCCAGCCTAAAAAACCCCACCCAAAACAGAGATAAGAAAGCAGCAGATTTCACCCTCATCTGTCCCCTGTGCTTATGGGCACTGAACTTTTCCTCCCCCTGTCCTGTGGTGCCAGAGTCAGCTGAGTTTATCATAGAATAGCTCATTAGGGGTTCCTTTGGTTTACCTCTCCCCTCCCCTCTGGTCCCAGTGGCTTGTGGCAAGTTATGTGATGGACACAACTTCAGTCAAAGAGCAGAAGTGCTGCTGCTGCCCTGGGGTGTGTTCTAGCAGGGTATCCTTCAGCACTGATCCCTGCCAGGGAACAAACCAAGCTCAGCACCTCAGATTCTCCTGCTCTGGGCCCCCCTGCAGTGCCAAAGGAGCGCCAGACTCAGGAGCAGATCTCAAATCCAGTCTTTTACATTGCTGTTGCAATGCCCAGAGGGGCAGGGTTTCCGCTCAGGTTTAACCACAAGCAGGTTCCTGGCAAGTTTTTTATGAGGTGTGGTGTTTTTTTCCATGCTTTCCAACTGCAGAATCCCACACAGCAGCTTGGACTTGCCTTGTTGCGTTGCTCAGTGATACTGCTGACCTCAGTCCAGAAGCGAAAGCGAAAATCCATTATGAAATCTAGTTGCATTATAAAGAAGGAGGAGCCCGTCGTGTGCCTTTTTCTCTGGGATCCAAGTGGCTTCTGCATCTCCTGTGCAGGGCTCTGGAAGAGGAGCTGAATGACTGGGAGTTGGAAAGAACTGCTCGGGCACTCGGAGAAGGGAATGGAAGAGGCAGGAAAGCTTCCTCAGGCAAAGCAGCTTTTGAGGTACTCACACTGTCTTCTTCTTTACAGGGTCCTGTCTTACAGTCAGTCTATTCTCTTATGAATCCTTGCTTCCTGGTTTTTAAGTAGACATTTAGAAATGGGCACTAAAATGGCTGTGGCAGGAGGGAAGTGTTTAGTGTGCTGCACATTTTCTCCATAAGGAAGAATGTGTGTTACTGGTGCTTGTGATCTTTCTCACTAAATAACTCCACCTCTGTAGCCCTGGCTGGCAACTTCCACGCAGCTCTGCACTGAATTCACACTGATTGTGTGAGTGCAGAAACCCAGCAGCTTCATCAAGCAACAAAAACCCCAGCCTGGTGGCTCTGGGTTCAGAATGAAACAAAACAGAACCAAACCCACAGAATATTAGTAAATAAGGACAGAGGTTTTGAAATAAAAGAAGTTAAATCAGTGGAACAGTTCATTCATTCTACTCTTACTAATGTGCTGCAAGCATAAAAAAAATTAGTAATGTTTTCTAATGGTTACTGTGGAATTTCTTTTCAGAGCAGTTGGTGGGAAGCCAAAGTGTGCTTTCCATTCAGGATTTTTGCAGAGATTTCTCAGCTCAGCCACAATGTCCTGCTGGTTGCTTTCTCTGCACTGCCTTGTTGGAGCTGTAAAAACAAACTGCAGTCATAGGCTCATTCAGGAAAGAGCTGTTTCATCCCTTCCCATGATTTCATTTTGTTGTTTTTTTTTCCTGTAAAGGCTTGCTGAGAGTGGTATTCAGGAGATCAAAGAGTGAAACTGGTACAGAAAGTGATAGAAAAATTATCTCTTCTTTAAGTACTGCTCCTTTTCTTTGAAAGAACTTAGAGTAGAAAACAAAATCTGTAGGATCTTCTGAAGTTCTTTGGGGCTTATTCTGTTGCAGCCTTACTTCCTTCAGTAGTATTATTTTCTCCAAACTGATCGAAACTTAAGCATTCTCCGTGGGATCTTTGGGGTACCAAATAAATCTTTTAGAAAACGTATTGCATTGTTTACAGCTGGAGAACAGCACTGGAATTTGTGGGTCCATGACTGTGCTTAATGGTTGGCTGGAGAGGGAAGCACATCCAAACCCTGGGGCAGCAGCCCTGCTCTGCCAGCCCCCGTGGCTGGGATTGGGGTGACCCCCCACCACAGCTCTGCTCTGGTCACCTTGGGGGGCCCTGCGGAAGCTGTGCCAGAGGCAGAGGTCAGAAAGCCTGAAAACACCCACTGGAAGGGCAGTGAGCTGTTTAACTTGTGCTGGAGTAGGAATAAGCACAAAAAAATGTGTGAGAATATTCAGGTCTCTTAACTGTTCAGGTCAGTTAAGAGTTAACTTTGAGAGAGGACACTGCTGGAAGTGATGCTGTTGCATTAATGGGTTGGTGGAGCAAGAGGAAATCCTTGCAGGACTGTAGAGGGGAGCAGGAGCTGTGTGTGTAAAGTGGAATCACTGGTCCCTCGTGTGGTGTGAAGTGGAAGTGGACGGATCTCTCCTCGGAAGGTGCGTGTGGGGCAGTGCCAGGACCGGTCCAGCACATCCTATGTGTGGCTGTCAGTGGCCTGAGGCACTGCAGAGGTGTCCCGGGTTTTATTCCGGGGGAACTTCTGCAGCTGGTTCCTGTGCCTGTTGGCAGCTGGAATGGGCTTGCCTTGAGGGTTTTGTTTCTCCTGTATCATCTGGTTTTGGGGTGGAACTCTCAGCAGCTCTAGATTAGCACAGACCATGATAGACAAGCATTTATTAAGTTCTGATGAAGAATTACTGCATAATTAGGAATTAATGCATAATTAATTTGGAAATTTCCTCAAGGTACTTCTCAGGTGGTGACAGCAAAAAAGTTGTTTAATGAAAGCTTCTAATGAAAAGCTCCCAAGAGCAAAGCAGGTTCTGTTTTCCAGAACCAGGCTGATAAAGAAACTTTTAATTTTTTTCAATTTTCTTTTTTCTTATTTGGAAAGTGAAACTTGTATTTTACTAAAACATATTTCACAAAGTCATTCACAGTTTCATTGAAATGACTGAGAATGAACTTCTGACTAAAGCCAGGAGATTTTTTGGAAGGAAATACCAAGTTTACGTTTGTTCATTTGATTTGAACTGGTATTTCCTGTCAGACTTCTAAACTAAAAACAGAGTTCAATTTGACAGTAAATATTTCATCTTACATCAAGTGAAACACTCATTCAGCACAAAATATCTTTCTTATCTAATTTTTTGGTGTGTTTTGGAAGCGACAGCGGGTCAGGCTGTTATTTGTTGCATGTAATGCTGAGGGATGTGTGCAGGGCCACTGTTTGAGGAGCCTGAAGGACCTGGACAAACAGCCTGCTGCCCAACAGGCTCAGGAGGGATTGCCCTTTCCCTGCAGAAGGACCACGTGTCTCCTGCTGCTGTGATTGAGCCAGAGGTGGAAAGGGCTGTGAGTTTGGCACTTGCAAAAGCCATGGTAGTGAGAGCTGAGCAGCAGGAGTGTTCCTTTGCCTTCCATTCCTTCCATTCCAGATGTCTTGGCCAGGAGCAGCCTTACAGCACTTGGCCTGGCAGCTGATTTCTTTTTGTCTGGAGAAAGATAATAAGAGAGAATGGATGCTAAACACTGCATTTAATGTCCCAACAGGAAGATGACTAAGGGAGGAGCCTGGTGAGCCTGACCTGGGACCACAGAGGATCTCAGAGAGCATCCAGCACCGCTGGAGCTGACACCCAGGGCAGCCAGATGGACTCTCCCCACCTCACAGGGTTGTGTTTCCTGCTCCTGGCTGTTGCAGCTCCCTGTCCAAGTGAGTCTCCTTGTATGACCTCAGTGCTTTTCCTTGCACATCAGTAGCTAAAAAACTTTTAGCTGTTCTTAGAAAGCTCAGCTGTGCCCAGTTAAAACTAAAACCAAAAAAGCTCTAGGGTGAGAAAAGAAATTGAGGTGAAGGTGGGTTTGTTTGACCTGTCCCAATGCCCTGTTTTGGGAGGGGTGACTCTTTGGGTGTGTCTGATGTCAGATGAGGCGAGTCCTCTCCTGAAGGACTGGCTTCTCCCCAGGAGAGTCTGGATGAGTAAATCTGCACACTGCACCCAGTGTGTGCAGTCTGGCAGCTGTGAACTTCACTGGTCTTGGGATCTGGCAGTCTGGGATCTGGCAGTCTGGAGAGACACCTGATAGGATTGTGCCAAGGCCTTGGGAAGGAAATGAAACAATAAGAGATGATACATCTGAGCTCAGCAAGAGAAAAGCCTTTCAATTGACTTCCCAAGGTGCCAACTTCCTAGTTTAAAACAGTTACAGCAGTAAGGAAATTATATCCTATTTCTGCCCCCAGATTATCTTGTGGACTGGCCCCAATAGTGTGTTAAATTTGCCCATTGGCAGACAATGTCTCCTAAGCCCTGACCTGACCTGTCCACCCAAACACATCCCATTCTCTAACACTAAACATGTGGAGTAAATTGGTAGAAAATACTTTTTCTTTGTTTTCTCCTTTAGATATTGCCATGCCCAGTGGTCAACCTGCTGAGACAACACATGACCCTTCCTCTGGCAAAACAAATGTGACAGTCTACTACTGTAAAGACTGTGAAATCAACATATGTGAATCAGGCACATTTGAAAGATTTGTAAAAATTGCTGAAACAGAAAACAAGGGGAAAATTGACTTGGTGACCAGGGAAACACACATCCTTGTGTGCTTTCAGCAAGGAAATTCTTATTCTGAAGGAATTTATGGCATCGTCTGGGGAAAATCCGGGGGATTTGGACACTCGTGTGCCATCCTGAATTCTACAGGTATGCTCTGCTGGGGAGCTGGTTATCAACAGATAGGAAATATATTTCTGTGTCAGTTTGTAATGTATGAATCCCACCTCCTTCCATCAGTATAAATTGACTATTTCTCTCCTGTGTTTATGCTCACCAAAATATCTACATGCTGTTAGTCCTGTGAAAAGTTTGGGTGACACTAAAATCTCCCTGGTGAAAACTGGAAGTTGCTGTAGCCAGGGGTGCCTGTGTCCCTTGAGAGGGTAACGGGTGGAGGTGCTGAGTCTGGGATGTGTAGGCAGGAAGGAATTCTCAAGGTTCTCTTGGAAGAGGACTAAGTTCTATAACAGCCCAGTGGGATGCAGGGTCAGTGGGAGATGCACTCCGGGGTCTCTGAGATCTGCACAGCTGCTGGTCTTGCTTGTTCCCCCTCTTTGGTTCCTGTGCAAAAAGGGAGCTGCAAAATTGTGTCCTAATTGTTATTAAAATGGTTTTTAATTGCATCAAGGTAATGCTAAGCTTTTTACCAATGTGTTGGTATTCTTAATTACATGGGAGACCTTCTTTGCCTTCTTGTAACGTTGTATTTCCACTATTGGTTCACAGAACAGTTCATCAGCTTTAGTGAGGAGAAAATCTAAATGTCAGTAGTTGATTTGAACAGCTGGGGAATGAAACATCCCCAACTTGTAGCAGTCATGGCAATCCCCAACTTTCTGTGCTACATGACCCACTTGTTTAACCTATGGACCTCTTCAACCTTTTGAACCCTTGACTGAAGATCTTGATCCGTATTTATAATTAAAACTTCTTTTATCTTTCAGCTTTCTCAGCAAATGGGAGAGGTAGCATCAGTCCTGAGGAGAATAAACTTTGCTGTGAAGCAGAAACAAATATCTGGGAGTCCAATCTTACACTGAAGTGCCACACTGAAATGTCAGGTGCAGAAACTAGAAAAGCACCAGCTGGTATCCTTGGTGAGGAAATTCCAGGTTAATCTCTCCACAAGTTTGTTTTGCCTTTGCTTTGAGAGTGTTTTGCCCAGGGAGCTTGATGTGAACAGAGTTTTACATGGAGCAATGGATACAGGGATGCTGAGGGAAGGTGGTACATGATGAGCATGCAGCCAGTTCCCAAGAATTCCCCTTGGTGGTCAGGGATAAATGAGACTTTGCCTCCATATTAAGTCACCTAAGGTTAGTTTTATATTCAAATTTCTTTCACGATGGAAATCCCTCTTGTCTTCCTTAGTGATGGACAAACAAGTCTTTAAAAACCAGTCAAAGTGGATTTCCTTAATGGCCTTTGAACCCCTCATTAAGGATGGCTCTCACACCTCTTGGTTTGGGGTTTTTTGGATGAGGAAAACATTCATTGGTATCTGTTGTGGTGGGGAGTCAAGAATAAGCTTTGAATTCTGATGAAGTCAGCATTGTTACAGGTATCTTCATTAAGGTATCCTGAGCCAGAGGCTGTTTGTTCTCTCATTCAAAGGTTCCCTCTCTCTTTATCAGCTGTTGTGGGGGACTTTGCTCATGCACCAGGCTCAATTCTTCCGGGGGGTGCTTATGAGGCAGGCTCGTGGCTTGGCATTCCTGCTTGATTCACTGGGCTTCTCTTTCTTTTCTTCTACTCTCCAGGTAGAAGGAGCAACATCGTCATCTCCCTCACATTCCTGCTGTTCCTTGTGCTTTGTGCAGGAATGGTCAGCATGTATTGCTATCGGCAGCATCGGAATACTCAAGGTAATGTCTGACAAATTGTTGGCTTCTTGTGGGTTCCACACCTGGTAGTAAGAAAAACATACAGGGTTTTCTTCCTGGATCTCATCTCCATTATGTTGTCTGGATGGGTTTGTTATGAAAAATAAGCAGAGAATAAATTTCCTCACTGCTCCCTCCTGAAGTGAGGAGGAAGCAATGGCAGGGCTCAGCCTTCCCTCTGGGGGATCCAGGTCCCTGGGTGGAAATAGCTGGGATTGGTTCTGTGGATTGAATAGGGAATCATGTGAATAAAGTCTGGAAACACCAGCCTTTCTCTGTATTACCCTCTGCTCTTCCCTCCTCCCTCCCAACACAGAGACCACCGTGTGCTTCAAGTAAGATAATATTAAACCAATTCTTACTCCAGAAATAGTTGGGCTCCAATACAGACGAGGACTTGGGATGCAACTTTGCTGTCATATGGCAAAGCATCCCACCTGCCATTCCTGGTGGGGATTTGTGGAGAAACACAAGGCCTGTGGGTCTGTCTGAGATGGGTAGCAGTGAGTTGATCAGTAATTGCAGATAAACCTAAACTGGGAAAAAACAACTGCAAGTCTCTTAGTTTTAGTTCTTCCAAAGAAGTCCTTGCCAATGGTGGTACTTTTTCCCTGTTGTTTCCCTAAGACTGTCATAGCATTCCATCAGATCTTTTACTGTTAGGTTGTCTCTAGAATGTTAAAGGTTGGACTCGATGATCTTGGAGGTCTTTTCCAATACAGGCATTTGGATTACAATTCTCACTGAAATCAACCTGTGCCCTTTTTGGCCTCACAGATATTTTTCTTTCAATTCTGCAGCTCTTAGAATAAACAGACAGGCTTCAGATGAAGAGAGCCTCACACAGGCTTGAAAACTATCTACAAGTGAGAAGATCCCTATGCCAGCAGCATCTTCCTCTGTCCTGATGTACAGCAACCAGCTGAAGCAACAGAGCCTGATGTTCCATGAGACCTCCTGGTCCCATATTCACAAATGGTCTGGTTTTCACAAATGCACCTTCACCACATCCACATGTTCACCAAGGACTGTTATTTCCACAATTGTCCAGCTCCAGGCCTTCATGAGCAGCACAAGCAGCACCCTGATCTCCCATTCTCTGCTGGTGCTTGGCTGAGGACAGCAGCCATCACAAGGTGTGTGGCTGACTCAGCAGCACAGCCTCACACCAGCTGAATTATCTCCAGCTGTGTACTCTGCATCCTGGAGATGTCTACTGGGTTTGTCCTCAGCAAGTGCTTTGTGTTTTGCAATATGCATAGATAGGCAAATATTTTTATTCACAGAATTATGGAATGGTTTGGGTTGGAAGGGACCTTAAAGATCATCTGATGAAATAAAAAAAGGACTAACAATACTAAGATGCCTGACTCACCAAATGCCATAATTTTGTAGCTGCAACTTCTTTTGACTGATTTTAGTTTTCAATTTGTGTTACTATACTAGTGACAATAAAACAGCTCCTTAAGAACTGGCTATTCCTTGGTAGCCCTGTATTGATGGTATTGTTATTTGGTCTGTTAATCTCCTTGACAAAGCATCACCATCCCATCATTCCCAAACTCACAATCCAGTATTATTGTCATGATTCATTTCTTAAATATGGCAAAAGCAAAGACAGGGAGTAAGAGATGTCTCCTGGCATCTGCTTTTATATCCAGCAGTGAGTCTTTGTGGGGCTAATTGAAAACTCATTTCACAACCTGCCTGAACTCTCTTTCCTTTACAATAATTGGTGACATTTCTGAGCTTTCAAGCATTCAGGAAATTCTTTGGGAACACTCCCTTCCTTTCTGTATTCCCACAGAGAGCAGTGCCCACAAGAAGAGCTTTTCATCCTAATGGGGAGGGAGCAGGAGCTACATGTGAGCTGTAGCTGGTTCCCCTTTGCTGGTGGTTTTCAGCTCTTGTGCACTGCAGACACACAGAGAGGGTTGTTAAATGTGAAGCCAGGGGCACGTGGGAGGTACGTCCTGTGCTGTAGCTTGGGAATTTATTCCCGTTGTCATTGCCAAGATGCAGATCCAAGCTGCTGGTTTGTGTGCAGGGCTGGTATAATAACTGAAGGTTCAGCTGAAGTAACAGAGCATCTCTCATCTCCTTGCTCCTTACAAAGCCAAGACTTTTGCTTTTGCAGCCACCAATCTAAGCCTGTGGGAACAGTGACAGGCTGAAGTGATTGTACCAGGCAGCCACATTTCCAGTGAGGCCACACCTGGGGGACAGCTGCCTGTGATATTCTGTGATTCTGTGAAAACCTTACTAGAAATATCCATTGCTGAATGTTGCTGTAGTCACTGAGAGTGCAAACTGGAGGCACACTTTGGGAAAAGGGTGTGAATCTCTGAGGGAAACAGGCTGAAGAAAAAGATGTCTCCAAACAGTCACCCCATTTCCCCCATCACCACTGACAAGAACTTGAAAGGATTGCTATCTTGCATCACTGATTCCTGCCAGGAGAGCAAGCCGACCTGTCCACCGCAGATTCTGCTGCCCTTGGAGCCCTTGCATGGCAAAGTGTGTCAGACCCCGAAGCAGATCTCTGTTGCAAACCCTCAGCAGGTCCCTGGGAGGTTTTTTTGCGGGTGTGGTTTTTTCAATGCTTTTTAATTGAGGAGTCCCTGCCAGCAGCCTTGTTTGCCTTGTTCGGTGGCACTGCTGACCTCAGTCCATAAGTGAAAGTAAGAATCCAGTTGTTTGTGCCCTCGAGGTTATCTAATAATGAAATCAGGGACCGGTAGGGTGTCTTTTCCTCTGGGCTGTGACTGCCGATTTTCTGTGCAGCATTTCTTGGAAGAGGACCTGAAACTGGGAAATGGAAAACGTGCTTGAGCACTTTCTTGGGCAGGAACAACTTCCGAGGTACGCCTTCTCTTCTGTCTGGCAGCCAGTCTGTTCTCTTACAAATTGTTGCTTTTTCTTTCTGTTTCTTATGGTTTAGCTTCACCCCATCATATGGGGCAGGGAGGGAAGAAGGTCGACAGAAATGCCCCGAGCACTTAAGAGAATAAAAGCTGCCAACACGAGGGGACCTCGCTGTGCTTTGCTCCTGGGACTGCAGCTGAGAGGGAGGGTCCGGCCTCTGCCCCCCCGGAGCCGTCCTGTATCCCCGGGGCCGTCCTGCACCCCGGCTTTGGGGAAGGAGCCTCCCGTTCCCCACGGCCGCCGGCAAGGGGAGTCCCGTCTGTGCCCGGTGAGCGCCGTCGCTTCCCTCTGCGGTGACAACCCCCGCGGCTCTGCTCCCCTTGCTCCCTGCTCCCCTTGCTCCCTGCTCCCCTTGCTCCCTGCTCCCCTGGCTCCCTGCTCCCCTGGCTCCCTGCTCCCTGCAGAGGCATCCCAGGTTTTGTTCCGCAGGAATTTTCGCAGCCGGTCTCCAAGACCGGGTCCTGTGCCTGTCGGCAGCTGGAATGGGTTTGTCTTGCGGGTTGTGTTCCTCCTGCATAATGTGTGTTTGGGAATTGCAGTGGGGCTCTCAGCAGCTCTAAGGTAGCACAGACCATGAGAGAGAAGCAGATCATTCTGCTGGTTATCAACTAACTTGTAGAAGAGAATTTCATGGGGGATGCTGTGAGGGAGTGAGTTGAGTGCCTGTGTGGTGCTTAGTTGCCAGCTGGGCTTAAAGTACAGCACTCCATTAGAAGATGAAACTTGTGTTTTACTAAAAGAAGTAAAGGCAAGTTTTACTAAACATACTTCACAAAGTCATGACAGTTGAATTGGAATGATTAAAGATTAATTTCTGACTAAATGGAAGCTGGGTTTTGAAAATAAATACTAATATCTTTGTTCGTTTGATTTGAAAAGGGATTTCCATCAGATCTTCTAAATTAACATATTAGGTCAAGCAAAACCCTCATTCAACACAAAGCATCTTGCATATCTAATTTTGTGTGTGTGTTTTCCAAGCAACAGCAAGTTTGTGTTGCATGTAATGCTGAGGGATGTGTGCAGGGCCACTGTTTGAGGAGTCTGAAGGACCTGGACACAGAGCCTCTTGCCCAACAGGCTCAGGAGGGATTGCCCTTTCCCTGCAGAAGGACCACGTGTCTCCTGCTGCTGTGATTGAGCCAGAGGTGGAAAGGGGTGTGAGTTTGGCACTTGCAAAAGCCATTGTAGTGACAGCTGAGCAGCAGGAGTGTTCCTTTGCCTTCCATTCCTTCCATTCCAGATGTCTTGGCCAGGAGCAGCCTTACAGCACTTGGCCTGGCAGCTGATTTCTTTTTGTCTGGAGAAAGATAATAAGAGATAATGGATGCTAAACACTGCATTTAATGCCCCAACAGGAAGATGACTAAGGGAGGAGCCTGGTGAGCCTGACCTGGGACCACAGAGGATCTTGGAGAGCATCCAGCACCACTGGAACTGAGCACCCAGGGCAGCCAGATGGACTCTCCCCACCTCATGGGGTTGTGTTTCCTGCTCCTGGCTGTTGCAGCTCCCTGTCCAAGTGAGTCTCCTTGTATGACCTCAGTGCTTTTCCCTGCACATCAGTAGCTAGAAAACTTTTAGCTGTTCTTAGAAAGCTCAGCTGTGCCCAGTTAAAGCTAAAACCACAAAAGCTCTAGTGTGAGAAAAGAAATTGAGGTGAAGGTGGGTTTGTTTGACCTGTCCCAATGCCCTGTTTTGGGAGGGGTGACTCTTTGGGTGTGTCTGATGTCAGATGAGGCGAGTCCTCTCCTGAAGGACTGGCTTCTCCCCAGGAGAGTCTGGATGAGTAAACCTGCACACTGCACCCAGTGTGTGCAGTCTGGCAGCTGTGAACTTCACTGGTCTTGGGATCTGGCAATCTGCTGGAGGGACACCTGATAGGATTGTGCCAAGGCCTTGGGAAGGAAAGGAAACAAGAAGAGATGATACATCTGAGCTCAGCAAGAGAAAAACCTTTCAGTTGACTTCCCAAGGTGCCAACTTCCTAGTTTAAAACAGTTGCAGCAGTAAGGAAATCATATCCTATTTCTACCCAAATTATCTTGTGGACTGGCCCCAATACTGTGCATACTTGCCCATTGGCAGACAATGTCTCCTAAGCCCTGACCTGACCTGTCCACCCAAACTCATCCCATTCTCTAACACTAAACATGTGGTAGAAAATAATAACCTGGTAGAAATTACTTTTTCTTTGTTTTCTCCTTTAGATATTGCCATGCCCAGTGGTCACCCTGCTGAGAGGACACATGACTCTTCCTCTGGCAAAATAAAGGTGTCAGTCTTCTACTGTAAAGACTGTGAAATCAACATATGTGAATCAGGCAGATTTGAAAGATTTGTAAAAATTGCTGAAACAGAAAACGAGGTGTTTTCAGATGGAATAATTGAGTTAGTGACCAAGGAAAAACAAATCATTATGTGCTTCCGGCAAGGAAATACTTCTGAAGGAATTTCTGACATCATCTGCCTGAAAATGGTGGGAGTGAGATACTTGTGTGGCATCCTGAATTCTACAGGTATGCTCTGCTGGGAGCCTGGATATCAACAGATGGGAAACATATTTCTGGTTATGAAAGTGAACTGTTGGAGACTTGTGCAGACAGTGATGTTCATGAGTAAACTTACATGACAGAATGAGTTTCTTCTCTTAAAAAAAGTCAAATAATTCAGACTAATAAATTGAATTCTCTCAGGTCAGACACTGTTTAAAACTACACTAGTAGGGATTCAGATAAACACATATTACTCTGAATTATACAGGCTTTTTTTTTTTTTGCCTTTTTTTTTTTAGCACCAATTCTCATGGTCAAATTCTGTGTCAGATTGTAATGTACAAATCCCACCTGCTTTGGTTAGTACAAATTGACTATTTCTCTCCTGTGTTTATGCTCACCAAAATATCTACATGCTGTTAGTCCTGTGAAAAGTTTGGGTGACACTAAAACCTCCCTGGTGAAAACTGGAAGTTGCTGTAGCCATGGGTGCCTGTGTCCCTTGAGAGGGTAACGGGTGGAGGTGCTGAGTCTGGGATGTGTAGGCAGGAAGGAGTTCTCAAGGTTCTCTTGGAAGAGGACTAAATTATATAATCCCAGTGGGATGCAGGGTCAGTGGGAGATGCACTCCGGGGTCTCTGAGATCTGCACAGCTGCTGGTCTTGCTTGTTCCCCCTCTTCGGTTCCTGTGGGTAAAAGGGAGCTGCAAAATTGTGTCCTAATTGTTACTAAAATGGATTTTAATTGCATCAAGGTAATGCTAAGCTTTTTACCAATGTGTTGGTATTCTTAATTACATGGGAGACCTTCTTTGCCTTCTTGTAACATTGTATTTCCACTATTGGTTCACAGAACAGTTCATCAGCTTTAGTGAGGAGAAAATCTCAATGTCAGTAGTTTATTTGAACAGCTGGGGAATGAAACATCCCCAACTTGTAGCAGTCAAGGCAATCTCCACCCTTCTGTGCTACATGATCCACTTGTTTAACCTATGGACCTCTTCAACCTTTTGAACCCTTGACTGAAGATCTTGATCCATATTTATAATTAAAACTTCTTTTATCTTTCAGCTTTCTCAGCAAATGGGAGAGGTAGCATCAGTCCTGAGGAGAATAAACTTTGCTGTGAAGCAGAAACAAATATCTGGGAGTCCAATCTTACACTGAAGTGCCACACTGAAATGTCAGGTGCAGAAACTAGAAAAGCACCAGCTGGTATCCTTGGTGAGGAAATTCCAGGTTAATCTCTCCACAAGTTTGTTTTGCCTTTGCTTTGAGAGTGTTTTGCCCATAGAGCTTGATGTGAACAGAGTTTTACATGGAGCAATGGATACAGGGATGCTGAGGGAAGGTGGTACATGATGAGCATGCAGCCAGTTCCCAAGAATTCCCCTTGGTGGTCAGGGATCAATGAGACTTTGCCTCCATATTAAGTCACCTGAAGTTATTTTTATATGCAAATTTCTTTCATGGTGGAAATTGTTGTTGTCTTCCTTAGGGCATGGACAAACAGGTCTTTAAAAACCAGTGAAAATGGATGTCCTTAATGGCCTTTGAACCCCTCATTAAGGATGGCTCTCACACCTCTTGGTTTGGGGTTTTTTGGATGAGGAAAACATTTATGGTATCTGTTGTGGTGGGGAGTCAAGAATAAGCTTTGAATTCTGATGAAGTCAGCATTGTTACAGATTTCTTCATTAAGGTATCCTGAGCCAGAGGCTGTTTGTTCTCTCATTCAAAGGTTCCCTCTCTCTTTATCAGCTGTTGTGGGGGACTTTGCTCATGCACCAGGCTCAGTTGTTCAGGGTGGTGCTTCTGAGGCAGGCTCATGGCTTGGCATAACTGCTTGATTCACTGGGCTTCTCTTTATTTTCTCCTCCTCTCCAGGTAATCCTGAATTTCCCACCAGCAAAAAGGACATCATCATCATCATCATCTCTGTCACATACCTGCTGTTCCTTGTGGTTTATGCAGCAATGGTCAGCATGTATTACTATCGGTGGTATCGGATTATTCAAGGTAATGTCTGACAAATTGTTGGTTTCCTGTGGGTTCCACACCTGGTAGTAAGAAAAACATACAGGGTTTTCTTCCTGGATCTCATCTCCATTATGTTGTCTGGATGGGTTTGTTATGAAAAATAAGCACAGAATAAATTTCCTCACTGCTCCCTCCTGAAGTGAGGAGGAAGCAATGGCAGGGCTCAGCCTTCCCTCTGGGGGATCCAGTTCCCTGGAGTGATCCCAGACTGTGCAACTCCCCCTGCAGACACATGTCCCAGCCCAGGAGACTGATGGACATCCAGGTGTGAGCTGACAGGTCCTTTAGGAGAATGGTTCCCACTCACAGCTCTGCCCACCAAAGAGCCACCTTTAATTTAAGAGAAAATATTTTCCTAAATGTTGCCAGGAGGGAAGTTTGTGTTGCAAACAAATATGGGTGGAAATAGCTGGGATTGGTTCTGTGGAGTGAATAGGGAATCATGTGAATAAAATCTGGAAACACCAGCCTTCCTCTGTATTACCCTCTGCTCTTCCCTCCTCCCTCCCAACACAGAGACCACCGTGTGCTTCAAGTGAGATAATATTAAACCACCTCTTACTCCAGAAATAGTTGGGCTCCAATACAGACTAGGACTTGGGATGCAACTGTGCTGTCATATGGCAAAGCATCCCACCTGCCATTCCTGGTGGGGATTTGTGGAGAAACACAAGGCCTGTGGGTCTGTCTGAGATGGGTAGCAGTGAGTTGATCAGTAATTGCAGATAAACCTAAACTGGGAAAAAACAACTGCAAGTCTGTTAGTTTTAGTTCTTCCAAAGAAGTCCTTGCCAATGCTGGTACTTTTTCCCTGTTGTTTCCCTAAGACTGTCATAGCATTCCATCAGATCTTTTACTGTTAAGTTGTCTCTAGAATGTTAAAGGTTGGACTCGATGATCTTGGTGGTCTTTTCCAACCTAAACGGTTCTCTGATTGTATTCTAAGATTTCCCTTTAGGGAGTTTAATTAGAGTCAGTGATGAAATCACAGTGCCACTACAGGGGCAGGAGGATACTCAGTGAAGGACTAGATGTGTTTTCAGCTTTCAGAGCAAGAGGTGGTCCAGTAGCAGATGGGACAGGGGAGATGCCTGGAGGACTTCCCACTGCAGATCTCCGAGCCTAAATACAGGCATTTGGATTACAATTCTCACTGAAATCAACCTGTGCCCTTTTTGGCCTCACAGATATTTTTCTTTCAGCTCTGCAGCTCTTAATAACACAGACTTCAGATGAAGAAAGCCTCACATCTTTGAAAAGGATCTACAGATGAGAAGACCTCTGTGCCAGCAGCAACTTTCTCTGTCCTGATGCACACAACCAGCTGAAGCAACAGAGGCTGATGTTCCATGAGACCTCCTGGTCCCATATTCACAAATGGTCTGGTTTTCACAAATGCACCTTCACCACATTCATATGTTCACCAAGGACTGTAATTTCCACAATTGTCCAGCTCCAGGCCTTCATGAGCAGCACAAGCAGCACCCTGGATCTCCCATCCTCTGCTGGTGCTTGGCTGAGGACAGCAGCCATCACAAGGTGTGTGGCTGACTCAGCAGCACAGCCTTAAACCAGCTGAATTATCTCCAGCTGTGTGCTCTGCTTTCTGGAGATGTCTACTGGGTTTGTCCTCAGCAAGTGCTTTGTGTTTTGCAATATGCATAGATAGGCAAATATTTTTATTAACAGAATTATGGAATGGTTTGGGTTGGAAGGGACCTTAAAGATCATCTGATGAAATAAAAAAAGGACTAACAATACTAAGATGCCTAACTGACCACATGCCATAAAGATCATAATATGGAATAAAAAAAGGACTAACAATACTAAGATGCCTGACTCACCAAATGCCATAATTTTGTAGCTGCAACTTCTTTTGACTGACTTTAGTTTTCAATTTGTCTTACTATACTAGTGACAATAAAAAAGCTCCTTAAGATCTGGCTATTCCTTGGTAGTCCTGTATTGATGGTATTGTTATTTGGTCTGTTAATCTCCTTGACAAAGCATCACCATCCCATCATTCCCAAACTCACAAGCCAGTATTATTGTCATGATTCATTTCTTACATATGGCAAAAGCAAAGACAGGGAGTAAGAGATGTCTCCTGGCATCTGCTTTTCCAGCCAGCAGTGAGCCTTTGTGGGGCTAATTGAAAGCTCATTTCACAACCTGCCTGAACTCTCTTTCCTTTACAATAATTGGTGACATTTCTGAGCTTTCAAGCACTCAGGAAATTCTTGGGGAACCCTCCCTTCCCTTCTGTATTTCCACAGAGAGTGTTGCCCACAAGAAGAGCTTTTCATCCTAATGGGGAGGGAGCAGGAGCTACATGTGAGCTGTAGCTGGTTCCCCTTTGCTGGTGGTTTTCAGCTCTCGTGCACTGCAGACACACAGAGAGGGCTGTTAAATGTGAAGCCAGGGGCACGTGGGAGGTACGTCCTGTGCTGTAGCTTGGGAGTTTATTCCTGTTGTCATTGCCAAGATGCAGATCCAAGCTGCTGGTTTGTGTGCAGGGCTGGTATAATAACTGAAGGTTCAGCTGAAGTAACAGAGCATCTCTCATCTCCTTGCTCCTTACAAAGCCAAGGCTTTTGCATTTGCAGCCCCCAATCTAAGCCTGTGGGAACAGTGACAAACTGAAGTGATTGTACCAGGCAGCCACATTTCCAGTGAGGCCACACCTGGGGGACAGCTGCCTGTGATATTCTGTGATTCTGTGAAAACCTTACTAGAAATATCCATTGCTGAATGTTGCTGTAGTCACTGAGAGTGCAAACTGGAGGCACACTTAGGGAAAAGGGTGTGAATCTCTGAGGGAAACAGGCTGAAGAAAAAGATGTCTCCAAACAATCACCCCTTTCCCCCCCATCACTATTAACAAGAACTTGAAAGGATTGCTATCTTGCATCACTGATTCCTGCCAGGAGAGCAAGCCGACCTGTCCACTGCAGATTATTCTGCTGCCCTTGGAGCCCTTGCATGGCAAAGTGTGTCAGACCCCGAAGCAGATCTCTGTTGCAAACCCTCAGCAGGTCCCTGGGAGGTTTTTTTGCGGGTGTGGTTTTTTCAATGCTTTTTAATTGAGGAGTCCCTGCCAGCAGCCTTGTTTGCCTTGTTCGGTGGCACTGCTGACCTCAGTCCATAAGTGAAAGTAAGAATCCAGTTGTTTGTGCCCTCGAGGTTATCTAATAATGAAATCAGGGACCGGTAGGGTGTCTTTTCCTCTGGGCTGTGACTGCCGATTTTCTGTGCAGCATTTCTTGGAAGAGGACCTGAAACTGGGAAATGGAAAGGCTGCTAGGGCACTTTCTTGGGCAGGAACAACTTCCGAGGTACGCCTTCTCTTCTTCTTTAAGGGTTCCTGTCTGGCAGCCAGTGTGTTCTCTTACAGATTGTTGCTTTTTCTTTCTGTTTCTTATGGTTTAGCTTCACCCCATCATGTGGGGCAGGGAGGGAAGAAGGTCGACAGAAATGCCCCGAGCACTTAAGAGAATAAAAGCTGCCAACACGAGGAGACCTCGCTGTGCTTTGCTCCTGGGACTGCAGCTGAGAGGGAGGGTCCGGCCTCTGCCCCCCCGGAGCCGTCCTGCATCCCCGGGGCCGTCCTGCACCCCGGCTTTGGGGAAGGAGCCTCCCGTTCCTCACGGCCGCCGGCAAGGGGAGTCCCGTCTGTGCCCGGTGAGCGCCGTCGCTTCCCTCTGCGGTGACAACCCCCGCGGCTCTGCTCCCCTTGCTCCCTGCTCCCCTTGCTCCCTGCTCCCCTGGCTCCCTGCTCCCCTGGCTCCCTGCTCCCTGCAGAGGCATCCCAGGTTTTGTTCCGCAGGAATTTTCGCAGCCGGTCTCCAAGACCGGGTCCTGTGCCTGTCGGCAGCTGGAATGGGTTTGTCTTGCGGGTTGTGTTTCTCCTGCATAATGTGTGTTTGGGAATTGCAGTGGGGCTCTCAGCAGCTCTAAGGTAGCACAGACCATGAGAGAGAAGCAGATCATTCTGCAGGTTATCAAGTAGCTTGTAGAAGAGAATTTCCTCAGGAACAGTCAGCATGGATTCACCAAGGAGGAAATGATGCTTGACCAATCTGATGCCTTCTATGATGGCATGGCAGGATGGGTTGATGAGGGGAGAGCAGTGGATGTTGTCTACCTCGACTCCAGCAAGGCTTTTGACACTGTCTCCCACTTACCAGTCTTCATAGGTAAGCTCAGGAAATGTGGATTAGATGAATGGACGGTGAGGTGGATGAAGAACTGGGTGAATGGCAGAGCTCAGAGGGTTGTGATCAGGTAGAATCCAGTTGGAAGCCTGTAGTCACTGGTATTCCCCAGGGATCAGTACTGGGTCCTGTCTTACTCGGCTTGTTTATCACCAATTTGGGCAAAGGGATAGAATGTATCCTCAGCAAGTTTGCTGGTGCTACAAAACTGGGAGGGGGTGGCTGGTAGACCTGGAGGCTGTGCTGCCATTCCTCAGGACCTTGATAAGCTGGAGAGCTGGGTGGAGAGGAACCTAATGAGGTTCAACAAGGGCAAGGGTAGATCCTGCGCCTGGGGAGAAATAACTCCAAGTACCAGTAGAGTTGAGGACTAACCCACTAGAGGGCAGCTCTGCCGAGAAGGACCTGAGAGTCTTGGTGGATGATAAGGTGACTATGAGCCAGCAGTGCCCTTGTGGCCAGGAGGGCCAATGGTATCCTGGGGTGCATTGGGGAGAGTGTGGCCAGCAGGCTGAGGGACGTGATCCTGCCTACTCAGGCTGAACTCAGCCCTAGGGAGGGCGCAGAACTATGTTGCAATTATTTAACCATTCTTATCCCAACCTAAAGGCTTTACTTTTGACTCTCTTCCCCATTCCACTGGGGTGGGGATGCTGTGAGGGAGTGAGTTGATGTCTTGGCCAGGAGCAGCCTTACAGCACTTGGCCTGGCAGCTGATTTCTTTTTGTCTGGAGAAAGATAATAAGAGAGAATGGATGCTAAACACTGCATTTAATGTCCCAACAGGGAGAAGACTGAGGGAGCAGCCTGATGAGCCTGACCTGGGACCAAAGAGGATCTCAGAGAACATCCAGCACCACTGGAGCTGAGCACCCAGGGCAGCCAGATGGACTCTCCCCACCTCACAGGGTTGTGTTTCCTGCTCCTGGCTGTTGCAGCTCCCTGTCCAAGTGAGTCTCCTTGTATGACCTCAGTGCTTTTCTAATAACTTTTAGCTGTTCTTAGAAAGCTCAGCTGTGCCCAGTTAAAACTAAGACCACAAAAGCTCTAGGGTGAGAAAAGAAATTAAGGTGAAGGTGGGTTTGTTTGACCTGTCCCAATCTCCTGTTTTGGGAGGGGTGACTCTTTGGGTCTGTCTGATGTCAGATGAGGCGAGTCCTCTCCTGAAGGACTGGCTTTTTCCAGTGTCTCCTAAGCCCTGACCAGACTTGTCCACCCAAACTCATCCCATTCTCTAACACTAAAGATGTGGGGAGTAACCTGGTGGGAAATACTTTTTCTTTGTTTTCTCCTTTAGATATTGCCATGCCCAGTGGTCACCCTTCTGAGAGGACACATGAGTCTTCCTCTGGCAAAACAAAGGTGACAGTCTTCTACTGTAAAGGCTGTGCAATGAGCATATGTGAATCAGGAAGTTTTGTAAGATTTGTAAAAATTGCTGAAACAGAAAACAAGGTGTTTTCAGATGGAATAATTGAGTTGGTGAGCAGGGAAAAACACATCCTTATGTGCTTTCAGCAAGGAAATACTTTTTCTGAAGGAATTTATGGCATCGTCTGGGTAAAAACCGGGGGATTTGGACACTCGTGTGCCATCCTGAATTCTACAGGTATGATCTGCTGGGGAGCTGGTTATCAACAGATGGGAAACATATTTCTGGTGATGAAAGTGAACTGTTATACACTTGTGCAGACAGTGATGTTCATGAGTAAACTAACTTGACAGAATGAGTTTCTTCTCTTAAAAAAAATAATTCAGAAAATGAATTGAATTCTTTCAGGTCAGACACTGCTTAAAACTAGACTAGTAGGGATTCAGATAAACACATATTATTCTGATTTAGACAGGCTTTTTTTTTCTGGCATTTTTTTTGTTTGAACATCAATTATCATGGTCAAATTCTGTGTCAGTTTGTAATGTATGAATCCCACCTCCTTCCATCAGTATAAATTGACTATTTCTCTCCTGTGTTTTTGCTCACCAAAATATCTACATGCTGTTAGTCCTGTGAAAAGTTTGGGTGACACTAAAACCTCCCTAGTGAAAATTGGAAGTCGCTGTAGCCATGGGTGCCTGTGTCCCTTGAGAGGGTAATGGGTGGAGGTGCTGAGTCTGGGATGTGTAGGCAGGAAGGAGTTCTCAAGGTTCTCTTGGAAGAGGACTAAGTTCTATAACGGCCCAGTGGGATGCAGGGTCAGTGGGAGATGCACTCCGGGGTCTCTGAGATCTGCACAGCTGCTGGTCTTGCTTGTTCCCCCTCTTTGGTTCCTGTGCAAAAAGGGAGCTGCAAAATTGTGTCCTAATTGTTATTAAAATGGTTTTTAATTGCATCAAGGTAATGCTAAGCTTTTTACCAATGTGTTGGTATTCTTAATTACATGGGAGACCTTCTTTGCCTTCTTGTAACGTGAGTATTTCCACTATTGGTTCACAGAACAGTTCATCAGCTTTAGTGAGGAGAAAATCTAAATGTCAGTAGTTGATTTGAACAGCTGGGGAATGAAACATCCCCATTGCCAGTCATGGCAATCCCCACCCTTCTGTGCTACATGATCCACTTGTTCAACCTATGAACCTCTTCAACCTTTTGAACCCTTGATTGAAGATCTTGATCCATATTTATAATTAAAACTTCTTTTATCTTTCAGCTTTCTCAGCAAATGGGAGAGGTAGCATCAGTCCTGAGGAGAATAAACTTTGCTGTGAAGCAGAAACAAATATCTGGGAGTCCAATCTTACACTGAAGTGCCACACTGAAATGTCAGGTGCAGAAACTAGAAAAGCACCAGCTGGTATCCTTGGTGAGGAAATTCCAGGTTAATCTCTCCACAAGTTTGTTTTGCCTTTGCTTTGAGAGTGTGTTGCCCATAGAGCTTGATGTGAACAGAGTTTTACATGGAGCAATGGATACAGGGATGCTGAGGGAAGGTGGTACATGATGAGCATGCAGCCAGTTCCCAAGAATTCCCCTTGGTGGTCAGGGATAAATGAGACTTTGCCTCCATATTAAGTCACCTGAAGTTATTTTTATATGCAAATTTCTTTCATGGTGGAAATCGTTGTTGTCTTCCTTAGTGATGGACAAACAGGTCTTTAAAAACCAGTCAAAGTGGATTTCCTTAATGGCCTTTGAACCCCTCATTAAGGATGGCTCTCACACCTCTTGGTTTGGGGTTTTTTGGAAGAGGAAAACATTCATGGTATCTGTTGTGGTGGGGAGTCAAGGATAAGCTTTGAATTCTGATGAAGTCAGCACTGTTACAGGTATCTTCATTAAGGTATCCTGAGCCAGAGGCTGTTTGTTCTCTCATTCAAAGGTTCCCTCTCTCTTTATCAGCTGTTGTGGGGGACTTTGCTCATGCACCAGGCTCAGTTGTTCAGGGTGGTGCTTCTGAGGCAGGCTCGTGGCTTGGCATTCCTGCTTGAATCACTGGGCTTCTCTTTCTTTTCTCCTCCTCTCCAGGTAATCCTGAATTTCCCACCAGCAAAAAAAACATCACCATCATCATCTCTGTCACATTCCTGCTGTTCCTTGTGCTTTGTGCAGGAGGGGTCACTGCATATTGCTATTGGCGGCATTTGATTATTCAAGGTACTGTCTGACAAATTGTTGGTTTCCTGTGGGTTTTCTTCCTGGATCTCATCTCCATTATGTTGTCTGGATGGGTTTGTTATGAAAAATAAGCACAGAATAAATTTCCTCACTGCTCCCTCCTGAAGTGAGGAGGAAGCAATGGCAGGGCTCAGCCTTCCCTCTGGGGGATCCAGTTCCCTGGAGTGATCCCAGACTGTGCAGCTCCCCCTGCAGACACATGTCCCAGCCCAGGAGACTGATGGACATCCAGGTGTGAGCTGACAGGTCCTTTAGGAGAATGGTTCCCACTCACAGCTCTGCCCACCAAGGAGCCACCTTTAATTTAAGAAAGAATATTTTCCTAAATGTGGCCAGGAGGGAAGTTTGTGTTGCAAACTAATATGGGTGGAAATAGCTGGGATTGGTTCTGTGGAGTAAGTAGGGAATCATGTGAATAAAATCTGGAAACACCAGCCTTCCTCTGTATTACCCTCTGCTCTTCCCTCCTCCCTCCCAACACAGAGACCACCGTGTACTTCAAGTGAGATAATATTGAACCACTTCTTACTCCAGAAATAGTTGGGCTCCAATACAGACGAGGGCTTGGGATGCAACTGTGCTGTCATATGGCAAAGCATCCCACCTGCCATTCCTGGTGGGGATTTGTGGAGAAACACAAGGCCTGTGGGTCTGTCTGAGATGGGTAGCAGTGAGTTGATCAGTAATTGCAGATAAACCTAAACTGGGAAAAAACAACTGCAAGTCTCTTAGTTTTAGTTCTTCCAAAGAAGTCCTTGCCAGTGCTGGTACTTTTTCCCTGTTGTTTCCCTAAGACTGTCATAGCATTCCATCAGATCTTTTACTGTTAGGTTGTCTCTAGAATGTTAAAGGTTGGACTCGATGATCTTGGTGGTCTTTTCCAACCTAAACGGTTCTCTGATTGTATTCTAAGATTTCCCTTTAGGGAGTTTAATTAGAGTCAGTGATGAAATCACAGTGCCACTACAGGGGCAGGAGGATACTCAGTGAAGGACTAGATGTGTTTTCAGCTTTCAGAGCAAGAGGTGGTCCAGTAGCAGATGGGACAGGGGAGATGCCTGGAGGACTTCCCACTGCAGATCTCCGAGCCTAAATACAGGCATTTGGATTACAATTCTCACTGAAATCAACCTGTGCCCTTTTTGGCCTCACAGATATTTTTCTTTCAGCTCTGCAGCTCTTAATAACACAGAGAGGCTTCAGATGAAGAAAGCCTCACATCTTTGAAAAGGATCTACAGATGAGAAGACCTCTGTGCCAGCAGCAACTTTCTCTGTCCTGATGCACACAACCAGCTGAAGCAACAGAGGCTGATGTTCCATGAGACCTCCTGGTCCCATATTCACAAATGGTCTGGTTTTCACAAATGCACCTTCACCACATTCATATGTTCACCAAGGACTGTAATTTCCACAATTGTCCAGCTCCAGGCCTTCATGAGCAGCACAAGCAGCACCCTGGATCTCCCATCCTCTGCTGGTGCTTGGCTGAGGACAGCAGCCATCACAAGGTGTGTGGCTGACTCAGCAGCACAGCCTTAAACCAGCTGAATTATCTCCAGCTGTGTGCTCTGCTTTCTGGAGATGTCTACTGGGTTTGTCCTCAGCAAGTGCTTTGTGTTTTGCAATATGCATAGATAGGCAAATATTTTTATTCACAGAATTATGGAATGGTTTGGGTTGGAAGATCATCTGATGAAATAAAAAAAGGACTAACAATACTAAGATGCCTGACTCACCAAATGCCATAAAGATCATAATATGGAATAAAAAAAGGACTAACAATACTAAGATGCCTGACTCACCAAATGCCATAATTTTGTAGCTGCAACTTCTTTTGACTGATTTTAATCTTCAATTTGTGATACTATACTAGTGACAATAAAACAACTCCTTAAGATCTGGCTATTCCTTGGTAGTCCTGTATTGATGGTATTGTTATTTGGTCTGTTAATCTCCTTGACAAAGCATCACCATCCCATCATTCCCAAACTCACAAGCCAGTATTATGGTCATGATTCATTTCTTACATATGGCAAAAGCAAAGACAGGGAGTAAGAGATGTCTCCTGGCATCTGCTTTTATAGCCAGCAGTGAACCTTTGTGGGGCTAATTGAAAGCTCATTTCACAACCTGCCTGAACTCTCTTTCCTTTACAATAATTGGTGACATTTCTGAGCTTTCAAGCATTCAGGAAATTCTTGGGGAACCCTCCCTTCCCTTCTGTATTCCCACAGAGAGTGTTGCCCACAAGAAGAGCTTTTCATCCTCTTGGGGAGGGAGCAGGAGCTACATGTGAGCTGTAGCTGGTTCCCCTTTGCTGGTGGTTTTCAGCTCTTGTGCACTGCAGACACACAGAGAGGGTTGTTAAATGTGAAGCCAGGGGCACGTGGGAGGTACGTCCTGTGCTGTAGCTTGGGAATTTATTCCCGTTGTCATTGCCAAGATGCAGATCCAAGCTGCTGGTTTGTGTGCAGGGCTGGTATAATAACTGAAGGTTCAGCTGAAGTAATGCAGCATCTCATCTCCTTGCTCCTTACAAAGCCAAGGCTTTTGCATCTGCAGCCCCCAATCTAAGCCTGTGGGAACAGTGACAAACTGAAGTGATTGTACCCGGCAGCCACATTTCCAGTGAGGCCACAACTGAAGGACAACTGCCTGGCTTGGGTGCTGTGAAGGGCAAATTTGAGTGAGTGTCTGTGTTCTCAGTTGTCTTCAAAGGGAAGGTGGGTGCTCACCATAGACAACTTTCTACTCCTACCCTCAGCGCTGGGAGTTGCTCAGTAGCAGGAAACCAGGGGCGGTTTTAGTGTGAAGTCAACATTAAGATACACCTCTATCACATTCACTGGAATAGAAAAGCAAAAGCAGCATCCTGCTGGCTTCTTTTAGTAGAGAGCTGATGTAGCTGAAAGGCAACAGGCCAGCTTGGGGCATCAGCCCTTTCCTCAGGTCTTTAACTCATCAGATTGTAGAGAGCAACTAAAGAGACCTTTGAAAATGCTGTGGATGTCGTGTCTCCCAACTGCATCCCTCTGTCTGCTGCTCCTCCCGTGCTTCCCTGCCCAGACCGGTAGGTACAATGTAGATGCTCTTCCAGTTCAGTGTTTTCCTTCCTCTTTCTTGCTTTATTGTGTTCAATTCCCCTCCCACTTTAGTCTATTTTCTCAAACAGCTTCCTGCCAGATTCACTATTAGTGAAAGCAGGTGGAACTTTGGAAAAAAAAAAAAATCTCTGAAATTAAAAAAGGAACTTGTAGGAAAAAAAAAAAAAGAAAAATTGTTATGATCTTAACTTTTCTACAAAGCAATCATTCTCTGTAAAAGTGTTTTCCCAGTAATTTCAGATCAATTGTATCTGTATTTTTAAGGATGACGGGGGAGCCCACTACTGACAGAAATGAATATTTATATTTACTAGGGGCATTTTTATTGAAGGTGGAGTAAAGCCTTACCAGAAATATCCACTGCTGAATGTTGCTGTGGTTATTAAGACTACAAGCTGGAGGCACACTTAGGGTAAACAGTGTGAATTTCTGAGGGGAACAGGCTGAGGAAAGAAAAAGTCTCCAAACAGTCACTCGTTTTTCCCCATCACCAGTGACAATGGAAAGGATGGTGACTTGAGAAAAACATATTATCTGTAAATCAGTGTGTCTGAAAGGAAGGCGCAGTGAAACTGGTGAGAAAGTTCTTTAGTTAGTGGTTATTTAGGAGTCAATGCTGACTTCTGCAAATATAATTTAACTCTTGAACTTCTACCTTGATCTCTGGAGAATATGAGTGATGGGCTGCGTCTGCTTGTCATTAACTTTGTGAGGTCTTAGGTCACAGAAAAGTTTAAACGGGGTCAGTTTGGAAGTACTGATTTTTAGGTTGATGGGCTTTTCTTTCCTGATGGTAAAGGCTGAGTGCTCTGCACTTCTCCAGCCTTATCCATCACCCCATTTCTCTGCTGCTTTGGAAGATAGTTGCTCGTGACTCCTGGGTTGCCTTAATTCCTTCTCTAAGCGTTGTAGGAGGAACATGCCCATGTCTGGTCAGGGGGAGTGACCTACTGTGTCTATATTCCAACAATCTGGACTTTCTGTGTTTGAATTCTGTGTTTGTTCCCTTATTAAAGTAAATTGTCCTAAGTATGTAGGGATCCTTAATTTGCTTCTCAACATTGAACAATTCAACCTTTTCTAAACTGTGTTTGTCCTAGACACGCAGTACTCTCTATTTAATTTTTCTTTCCTTGCTTCTGATGTAATTTCTTTCTGGTGTTTCCCATTTGATCCCTCTGTTTCTTGCTATTCATTACACAAGTATTTACTGTTCAGTTTCTTTTGATCCTGAGGTAATTAGAGAACTCAAAGATGTCTCATTATACATTTTGGTACCTTTGTTTCTTACTATAGATTGGAGTTACACCCTCTGCAGTCCTCTGCCCGAGAGGCTGTATTATCCAGTTTCCTGGTGTTGCTAAATGCTCCTTTCTTTAAAAAGAAAAGAAAAAGGTGTATTTTTCCTCCATTCTCTGTCATTTTTACCTTTGAATTCCAGATTTAGACCCTCAAACAGCTCCAACTGTCAGGCTGAGTTCAGTGAAGCTTGTATTTTGAGAACTAATAGGATCATTCTGAGAATCTAAACCGAGCAAACTAAATTTTTTGCACGAGTGACAGAAGACACTTTTTTGCCAAGGCCTTTTAAGCTTTGGGAAGGTGCTGAGTTGAACAGTTCAATGGGCATGAAAGGCACTACAGGGTTCAGGGCAGCCAAGAGATGACATACACAGCATAGCAAGACTAAGGTCCAGTCTTACAGAGCACTTCTGTTGACGGAGTTGTTGGTTCTGAAAACTACTTTGATATTAAAAGATCAATAGGAACTCTGGTATTACCATCTCAATTGCATTTCTTATCTTTAGGTGGAGAAAATGAACAGTCAACAGACGTTCTCAGTGTTTGGGAAGGAGACTCCATCAGCATAACTTGCTCAATCAGTGGTTTAGGAGAGCACCTGGGAATGCACTTGAAAAGTAGCAGAAAGACAGTCAATATGATATATTTTCCCAAGGACAATCCTCCAAATATCTCTCCTGATTTGGCTGGTCGCACCGAGTGTTCAAGGGAAGGAAGGAATTACAGGACAACTTTACACAATGTACAGGAATCTGACTCCAATATCTACCTTTGCATTGAGTATGTTACAGTCAATGACCATCACAAAATACTGGATGGGAAGAGAACCATAGTAGTGGTGAAAGGTATTGCAATTCCACCTTTTATGTCATGAATTATTGAATACAGACCTGTATTTTAAATCACAGATTGGAAGCAAGCACAATGGGAGGAAGAGTCTGACAGAACTGTACTCGTGTCTGCTCAGGTGATGAACAGATTTGAAGGAAAGTGTGGGTCCTGAAATATTGAAGAAAGAGCATTAGATAGTACAGTACCAAAAAAACCCCATCCACCCTAGAACATCAATTTGTGACTGATTTAATTCTACCTACAGGTTTTCACCTATTAGTCATAGGTAGCTGCAGCAGTTTGGAAACAGTGATGACCTAGAGCTCTTTTTCCAAAACAATCTGTGAAATCTTTGCGAATAACTAGCAGAGCAATGAGCCTTTTTTTTTTTTTTTAAATAGCAGTTTTTGCAAATCTCTTTTTTTTTTTTTTTTTTACTATTTCATCTTAAATGACATATTGGTAATTATTGGGAGCTGGTGCTAGGTAGGGTCTGCAGGTTGGGCATGAGTGGGTACAGGCTTTTTTCTGTTCTTAATAGTTGATGAATGGGCAAAAGTGCTCCCTTTGGCAGATTTCTGTGGTTGGGGGAACAATTTTTCTGTCTTTATTTTCTTTTGCATTAGAAGAGGGTTTGAGTCCCCACTATTCTTTGGCAGCTTATTCCTCTATGTACCCATCCTTCTGATGAGACCATCTGATGAGAAATATCTTTACCAAAATTTAGAGTTTTCTTCCTTTCCTGTCCCCAAGGCACGTGAAATCTAATTGATTGCTGGATCAGCAACTGTAATTTATATCCATGAGGAACTGTCATGTTCTTCCTTAGGCTTCTCTTTTCAAACTCCTTGGCTCTGTTTTCTCAAATGAATTCCATCTTGTTTATTGTGTACTGTTTCTTCAAATTATTTTATAAGTTACTTTATCTCTCTTTTTGATTCTGATCCTCTTCTCTAAAATGCTTGCCACTTTCCTTTGACAACCATGATACATTCTGTCTTCATTCCCTCACCCACATTAATGATAATTTTAAAAGGAACAAGGCCTGTCCTCAGAGGAACTCAGTGGAATGTCTTCCCAGCTGGACAGCAAACCATTAATAATTACTTTTTGAACATCATTTTCAACATTGATGGGACTCACATTGTATGAGTTGATCCAGGCCAATATTCCCCAGATCCTCCTATGTCTTCATCTCACTGGAGAAAGCAGTCAGTGATCCATGTCCAAGGACATGCTGATGAGGCTGATCCTTAGAAGGGATCAGTATATGTCTTTTTTTGGTAGGTACAGACCCTTTACAACCAGGTGAACCTGTTGGTCAGTCCTACTTTCAGATCCTGAGGCAGGAAAACATACCAGGGTGTACTAAAATACATCCTCCTTCTCAAGGCACGTGTAAAGGTAGCCTGTTAAAAAATTCATTTTATCTAAATTTCTGCGGTCTGTTCTTTCTGTCTGTGACCTCTGCACCTGCTCCCTGGTTAAAATGCACTGTGATAATTATGTGACAGCCATTAATCTCTCTTGTTTTTAGCTAAAACTGGTGGGGCTTTGAAGCAGTCCCCGCTCTATGCCAGCCCTCAGCAAGGCCAGTCTGTCAGCATCACCTGTGTGATGAACAGCTCACGTGGGGACGAAGGGATCTACTTGCTCAGGACTCATGTGCAGCCTGAAAGTGTTCTGTCTGTGTCAAATCAGAGTGCTACAAGGATTCCACCTGCCTTTGCTGAGCGCTTGGAGTATTGGAGGGAAGGGAAGCAAATAGTGATAACTCTGCACAACCTACAGGAGAACGACAGTGATAACTATGTCTGTGCTGAGGAGGTGAGACATGGGAAAAACACCCGTCTCCTCTCAGCAAGTGGCACCATGGTGCTGGTTAAAGGTATGTTCCTCTTGCTTGTTTAATCATAGCTAACTATAGGCATGTTGTCATGCAAAAGGTGGGCAAGAAGCTTGCAGAAATCTAGTGAGGACAGGTAAAGCACTAATCCCTGGGTAGAGCTCATCCAGTACCTGGGAGAGTTTGGAGGGTGGGCTCAGCCTCATCAGTGTCCTGTTATGCTTGGAGATAGAAACAGGCACTGTGTTTCTACCTGCCTTGTACAACCAACCAGAGGGCATTTCAGAAGAGAAAACTTGTTATAATCCTGCATCTTAAAAGAATTAAAAAAGGTCAAAATAAGATATGAAACATTTCAGTGTATGCGTGAATAATCTGTCAATTTTAGGATATGAATAAGTATTTTTAGCAGCAGTTCTTTGATCTTAACGTGACATCAATGTCTTTTAGAAACAATTCCCGATAGCAAGTCTTTCTGTTTAAAAATGGGTCACACTGGGGAGCACAGAACAAGTCCTCAGGCATGTACTTCAAGCCCCACAGACCATTATTACACACTGAGCACTGTGTGTGCTCCAAAGAGGGGTTTTATTTTTCTGCAGGATGGTGCTGTCACCATTTGCTAAGCTGAAGACAGAACCAGAAATCCAGTGCTTGATTTTGATCTTACTGGTGCAGTTCAACCCTGGGCACTGGGCTTTGCTGAGGTCTTTGTAAAATAAGGTTCCCAAAGGCCCCAAGAGCTGCCCAGGATCTACCTGCAGTCTGCAAAGACGACTGTGGTCTCGTTCTGTGCTGCCACCCATAACGGGGGTGACAGCTCAGCAAAGTGAGCTGGGGAGAATGACAGCAGCACATCAAAGCAGCAGGGTGATTATGTTATTCAGATATGGATCAGCTGAGGTTTTAGAGAGCTGGAACCCTTTCCACTAGCACTGTTCTGCTCAGGGGAGTGCGGCAAATCACAGAACCCTCCTGCTTCTGTCTGTACTGCTCACAAACTGGCTGTTGGACAATTCCTTCTGAACCCTCAGAATAAAGCATTTTCTCTTCCCATCATGAGTGTGTGGTCCTACTTCTGCTCAGTGGTGTGGCAGCTTTTGCCTTTGTAGAGTGCTCCTTGCTGACCCTTCACATGCCACCTGCAGTCATCGCCAGCCTCTGGAAGAGCCCAGGGGATGCCACTGAGAATACTAATGGAATAAAAAATGTGGCTGTGTAGCTGTTGATATCTGATTTTTTTCTTGACCTCTAAACAATTTTTTTCAGAATAAAAAGAAAATTCTACCTCTTAATAATAATAATACTAATAATAATACTAATAATATAATTTTTGATGCAGAAGGGGAGCAGGCATACTCCCAGAAGGCATGCAGTGATAGTTCCTGGTTCATCTATTCCCTCCTCATCGTGGTGGCACTACTGTTTTGTGCACTGGTGTGCTGCACCTTGTACCATGTCAATGTAAGTATGCTCTCACCATGCCAAAGCAAAACTGTGTCCAGGTTGAGCAAATTATTTATAAACAGTGGCTGAGTGAAGCAAACTTTTGATAAACCTTAGGAACTGTGGCTTCCTATTGTTTCTTATTTGCCTTTGTTTAATGTCTTCCAGCTGTAAACTCTTGCAGTAAACACAGTGTTTGATGTTTCTGTAACTAAACTCTTTGTAAATGTGGTATTGTTTGCCTTTTGATAACAAACCTCAAGTGAGCCACATGGTCAACAACACAGCCATGTGTCCCTGGACAAAGCACCTCAATGTCCTTTATTTAAAAACTTTATGTGAATTGGGACTGGAGCTGTACATAGTAACCTTGTAAGAGATGTGAGGGAATGTTTGGAGGGGGACACAAGGGCAACAAAAAGTCATAAGTAGCCTGATATCCAAAAGCAGCACTAGGAGAAAAATTTTGCCCCGTTCTAGAAAAAAAAAATCCCAATTTTTTTAGCTTTACTAGGATTATTTATATTCATATACTGCAGAAAGTGCCCAGAAATTATTTGTCTCTGATGGATTCTTCTGCTCCATAAAGATTACTGAAAATTAACAGTGTATGATTCACAGGCTCCTGTCTTGTCCCTCCACATGTGGCTTCAGCACTGCTAAAACCCAGTAGTGCAGCATCATTCTGTCAAAGCTCAGTGGCCCTGTGGGAACTGGTCTCTCATGTCACCAGTAACAGACTAAGAATGAGCCTTATTTCTGCAGGAGCTGCAGTTACATCCAACTCCTGAAGGAACTTTTGGTGAAATTGCGTCAAACTGACAATAGAAAGTTAAATAAATAGGTTGAAAATTTCCACTTGGTCCTCTAAAACCTCACTGTGTTGTGAAAGGAATTTTAAAAGTACATCTCCTCTTCCAAGAGATAGACTTCTAAAGATGTAGATGGACTCCTAAGATGAAAATTGACTCCTTTGGTGGGGTCCTTTTCCAGGTTCTGTTCTGAATGGCTGTTTTCCTTCTTTTGCAGATAAAGAAATACTTCCAAAAAAACCCCCCAAATGTAGTTTATGAAGATATGTCTTACAGTTCTAGACGAAACACACTGGTCAGAACCAACACCTACTCCAGGGGCAGTGAAGCTTAAGCTGGGACCATCAACATCAACTTTCCAGGTCTCTCTGAGAGCTGCTTTAACAATCTGATGCAGTAGTTGAACTGAAAGTGCTGTCACCCACCTTTTTCAGTGGAAAGAAAAAAAACTAATTTCCAAAGCTTTTTTCTGCTTTTTACTTTTCTCTCTTTTTTTTTTTTTTTTTTTTTTTTGGTAATGTATAGAAAATATAGCAAAATGCAGGCACCCTGTACACATGTCTGCAGTTCAGTGATGCATCATATGGGTTCGTTTCTTTGATAAATATCCCTTTCAGGGAAGGTGGGATGGATGGAGAGGTCTGGTTCTGAGCTTTGGTAAGTGCTCAGAAGAGTCTGTTCAATAAGTTGTACTGGATCCACTTATGCAAGGATTACAGTTCTCTCATGAATCCTCGTGGGTCTGCCCAGGAGCTCAGGGAGCTTAAAAGTACTCAAAAGTTACAGCAGAGAAATGTGTTCTGAGCTGAGGAGACTTCAGAAATGTGGCAGGGTGCATCACAGGTGAAGTGCTGGATATGTGTGGGCTTACCAAGGTCATAACAGTCCCATGAAAAGGCAATCAAGTCTAGATTTTAACTTACTGCCTTTGTCAGAGATACCAGCATGACTGGTGTGGGTCTTGACATGGTTGACAAGCAAAGTGACCAGACTTGGGGCGTGGTGGCTTCTTGGGACAGCAGAAATGTTTGTGATGTACTGGTGATGTCTCCAACTCCACATGTCTTAGGGCCTCCCAGCAGAATACATTTCTCCAGGTCAGTGACTCCACACTTTCCAACACAAGGTGAAATAATCTGGGATACAGCCAGTGCCTGCATTCCAATGTGGGCGTGGGTGGGTCTGATCTGAAAATCCTTCTTATCAAAGAAGGGATTTATCAAAACTCACATCAATCAGGTGGAAGCTAGATTTGGTTAGAACAAATCTCAAGATTTGGTTTAGTAACAGCTTAGGGAGCTCAGCTGAGGGTGTTTGGTTTTGCAGAGCTGGGGCTGCTGGGGAAAGTCAACAGTGCCCAGAGGAATGTCGAATTGCTCTGTTACAGGGCAGGATTGATGGGGTTGGTTTGTGGTTTCTGAGGACATGCTGAGGCTGGAGTTTTTCTCTGTTGATGTGTTTGTTTATTTTTTTGAGGGATTAGCATCAGTTTGCCCATGATGAGTGAGTAGGAGCCAGGCACAGGGATCCTTCCTATCCAGAGCTGAGCTCTGCCAAGATCCCAGCTCGCCAATCCAGTCCTGCCCCTCAGGAGAGCCCATTTCCCTCCAGATATTACTCATGAAATGCTGTGCACCAGACCTGAGGGGGAAATCTGCTCACTGGGGTGGCTGGGGTGGGAATGGGTTCACTTTTGAACAAAGAGGTGCCATCTTCACATGGCCATACCTGAATAAAATTGTTTTTGTGATGTGCAGTTGCTTGATATTTTTATACCTATATTAAAAACTATGTCATGTATCTTGCAAATAAATGCTGGTTATTGAATGGAGTGTTTCTTTCAGTGTTTTGCTGTTTGGTTTGGTTTGTTTGTTTGTTTTAAATAAGGATTCAAAGGCTTCTTGCACAGTACAGTATAAATTGCTAACAGCACCACAATAAACAACATAATAGGTATTTTCCACTTTAATCACACAACCTACATGTGGGGTTTTTCTTTTTAAAACTGATCAACAAAGAAAATACCAAGGAACACTCCAGACAATGAATATTCCATGTGTCTGAGAACGTTGTCCAAACACTTCTTGAACTCTGGTGGGCTTGGTGCTGTGACCAATTCTGACTTTGTCCCTGGGCAAGCCCAGCTCAGGGGTGGGTGAAGAGCTGGGGAAGAACTAACAAATTAGGTGCCAATCCAGGAACCAAAGCGCTCATAATCCTATAGTCAACCACTTTTCATTTCATTTTTGGAGAAAGATGCAGGTTTAGTAGAAAAGGGTAAAACCTCTGAGAGGCAACACACAATGAGCAAAGTGACATTCAAGATCAGCTTTCTGTAGCAACACCACCGTGCAAACAGGACCACAATTGTGAAATAAAAAACAAGCTGTGAAAGGAAACAGTAGTGGAGGTGGTTTCTTTGGCTTGGTGTAAATAAATTTAAAAAAAGAAGTAACACCTCGCTGAGGAAAATGACACAAAGTGAGATGTGTGATGGACTGTAAGTGTGCAGGGGTAGACAATCAGCACCACAATTAACCCAAGCAGTGGTGAATGAACTGCTGGGGAAATTAGCTCGAGTGCCAAGGCAAGGGTTGGGTATTTGGCTGCTCGAGAGGGTCAGAGAGGGCTGAAGATGCAGTGTGGTCTCAGGGCTTCCCTGGAAAGCAGCCAGACTGAAATTTTCATGCCCAGAGCTGCAGACAGAATTGCTCTGGGCTTATTGTGTTGCCTTTGCTGTTTTTCTGTTTCCTGTCCCCGCACTCAAGAGGGAAATAAAGTCATTTCCAAGGAGAGGTGGGAAGTGCAGGGTTAAGGCTCTGAGGCTGGGGCAGGACCCAGATGATGAGAATGGTATCGGGGTATTAATGAGGTCCCACCCCATTAATGGGATAAATGACAGGAATTGCATCTGGGAGCAAAGCAGCCTCAGATGGGGAGCAGAGCTGCAGCTCCAGTATCAGAGTTTATGGAACAGGGATGGAGCAAGAGAAGGCAGCTGGGCAAGGACAGTGTGTCAGAAGCTGGGAAAACCTAACTGGCAAGGTACGAGTCATGTGTGAAGTGACTCAGGGGCCAGGTCTGGATGGAGTGGCCTGGGCTGAGTGCTTGGGAAGGGGAGGGCTCATCAGAAATAATTTTTGGTTATTTGCAAAACTGGAGAAATCAGCCAGCACATGTAAATAGATTAGTCCTGAGGGAGCCCATAGAATCAGGGAAATTTAACTGAGGAAAGCATTTTAACCTCTTGACTAAGGTGTGTCTGACAAGGATGAGCCTGAACTCAGATGCCAAGGAGGCTGATAAGCCAAGCTGACCCACAGAACATTTTGCAGGAGGGTGGTATAAAGGGTAGAAGTAGATTCTCCTCTTGAGGCTTGTGATATATTGTAGGACACTGGAATGTTTCCAGTGACTATCCTGCAAACCAATGTTTGTGGCAGTTGTGAATGCCACCTGATGTATGTCTGAAGCCTTTGCTGGGAGCATTGTTTGGAATCAGTTCCTCCCACCTGCCTGTTGCTGATTGCTGCCTGTGACCATTCTTCCACCCAATAACTCCTGCAGGAGACATTCTGTTAATATAATCTGGAGGACATAACCAAAATATGTCCAGCACTGCTGGTTCTGGTGAAGACAAGCCACTGACTGGTGATTTCTCATGGTCTCTGTGTTAGTAAAGAAACTATTTCCATTCCCAGCATGCAAGCTTTTGCAAGCACTTGTTTTCCAAAACATCTAGTTTCTTTTTGAATGTTTTATAACACTTAGCTTGTAATATCATATTAGCAGTCAGCTCACAGTCAAGTTGAAAACATGCAGGGTTTTTTTCTGGTAGTTCACAGATTTGGTTTTCTCACAGTTTAGAGCTCCGAGGTGCTGAAAATGCCTCACTGGTGCCATTTCTTTAATCTGACATATTTGGTTAATATGCTTGCTTCTGCACTAGTTAGTGAATTTTTTTACTGCTTGACATTTAAATGTAACAGTATTTGTATTGTTTTGCATGGTTATTAACAGTGTTTCAAATCCTTCACTAACAACTGGACACTGGCTATGTTCAACATGCAAGAAATCTTCCAAATTCCATTTAAAGTCTCAACAGTAAATCACTGATAACAAATTACTGCTCTTAATTCTTGTATAGCCAGAGCTATATAGTGTATATAATAGTCTCAGAGAGAGACTATATAATAGTCTCACATAATTTTTTCATTTAAGAAATCAAAATAGAACAAGCAGCCTAAATATTGACCAGAGGGAATAAATCACTTTGTCCTAACATTAAAATTTTAAAGTGTTGTCATCATCTTTCTCATACAAGTAGATTATCTGTCCAGCTTGAGGATGGGAGGTGACTCCACTCTGTATAAAAAACTGCTAGTAGGACTGAATGAACTCTCTGGATGGTGCTAATTCCTGTGTATCTACTTCACAAGAACAATTATTTTGCTTTTGGGTGGTATTTGACTGCAACAACTGACTGGCATATGTCTGAAGCTCTCCCCAGAGAACATGCCCTACTCCCCAGAGAAGATTTCCACCTGAGATATTAGAAATGGTCTGCTAGACCCTTATGCTTCTGACTGTAATGGGAATAATATCTAAACGTTGCAGATGCCAAGTGGAAGCTACTCCCTCATTCCTTTTGTGAGTGACTACTGATAATTAGTAACACTGGGAAAGCCTTTAAGCTCATTCCTCTTAGCAGTTCATGACACCCTGAGACCTTTGGTCCATCTTCTCTTAACACAGTGGAAAGCTGCACAGAATCACAGAATCACTAAGGTTAGAGAAGACCCCCAAGAACATCGAGCCCAACTCTTAACCCATCACCACTAAACCGTGTCCCCGAGTGCCACGTCCACACGGCTTTTGAACATTCCCAGGAATAAAGTGTGTTTCTTAAGGAATCTGGCCGAGCTCTGGGGCTCAGGAGCCAGTTTTGCATCCACAATTCTGATAAGATGTGGAGGGCTAAATTACAGTCTTTTCTCATACAAGTTGTAAGAGCTTATTCTGGGGCTTCCTGTACAAGTAACGCTTTACCAATGTTAAAAATAATTTCATCCTCAGATGGCAGAATTTTTTAGTCTGCTCTGATATGACAGGGAAAAAAAAAGAGAGCTTTGTGTTCTGGGGTCTCTTTCTCTACGTGTATTGCCTTACAACTGTGAGACAAGTCTTTTGAGA